CTGCAGCAAAATTATGACACAAAACAAGAGGTGTTCACATGCATGTTTTTCACTAGTGCTTCACAATTTTGTAGTATTTTTAGGTCAAATTTTTATGCACTTTTTCCTTTGTTTTTCTCATGCACTTAAGACATCACACCTCTGTTTAATCTCTGTTTTAATGCTTATAAAAGTGTATTAGGTTTCAGCCAACACAAGACTCAAGGAAAAACCTAATAGGAAAATGTTTAACAATTTTATTTGACAAACTTTTAACAAGACATAATAGAAACCTAACTCTAGGAAATTTGCTAGAACTAATAGCAAATTAAGAACTCAATTATGTAAAGCAAAAGCACATGTAGTAAGGTTCAGATTTAATAAGGAAAATACACAAAAAATTTCGGACACAAAGACACAAAGCAAAAATAGGTCAAACAAGCTATTCTAGGAAATTACAACATACAAAGGACTACACATGACTTACTAGGACAAAACAATTGATTAAGAAATAAAATCTATACTCAATGCATGTTGTCCAATCACGGACACATGTGAATGAATGGAGATACTCAAGCAAAACTTAAAACGCACAAGCAAGGAACCTAAAGCACAACAAAACCGGTTTGATTCAAGAATTAGAAGAACAAGCAAATATGAATTAAACAATTATTATGTGACATTTCGGATCCATCAAAGTATGTATAAAATCTAGATCCATTCAGCAAACATAAGAAGACATGTCATAGGAGGAAGATACAACACAGATTCTATTAGAAAAAGTTAGAACAAAAAACCTCAAGAGCACTAGGCTCTGATACCAAAAATGATGGAGCTACTTGGAGGAGATTGAAGTTCCTTCAAGCTCTCCATGCTTAGGACCGAAAATGCTCTTGAGTTGACCTTGAAAGAGATCCGAGACTCCTTGAAGAAAGCTCCAATGGAGTAGAAGTCTTTGAAGATGATTCGGTTCTCCCTAGCTTGTTGTAGAAGCTTGAGGAACCAAGACAAAGTTTGAATAAACTTTGAGGGAAACCTAGAGTGGAAGTTCTCTACGGTTTAGGGACTCTTGAGTTGAGAGAAATCTGAAGATTTAATCTCATTTATGTTCAAAAGTGATTACAAATGTAATGTTTAGGAATTTATAGGGAAAGGTAGCTTGTAGGAGAAGCTATCCTAAACCATGGTTCACTAGGAACCATGGTAGGGTAAGCTTTAACCCCCACGGTTTAGGAAACTTGTAGGAGAAGCCATCCTTGACCATGGTTCACTTAAGAACCATGGTAAGGTTGCCTTAACCTTCCAAGGTTTAGAAGCTTGCAAGGCAAGCTTCAAACCTTGAAGAGTAACAAGTGAATTTCGGCCAAAGAACAAGTAGGAGAGCTAGGCGGCCTTGGTTCATATTTGCTCCTTGAATTAATTCAAAAATGTTTGATTTGGTTTAGTTAGGTTCATCATATGATGATGAGACCTAGCTAAATCAAATCTATGAAAAATTAGGAGCAAAATGAGTCCAATATGTAAAATTTTGCCTAGGCCCAGTTCTGGCCCAATTACTTGTCACACCCCAAGCTTTGCTAAATGTCACCCCCTTTTCCCTACTGAAAAAATAAAGAATGAGTGTGTCAACTAGGGAGGTTAAATGGAGTTAAACTCTCCAAGTAACCTACCTCAAAATCAATATACAAACACTAGAAAAAGCTAGTAAAGTGCCTCACAAATACAAAGGCAAAAATAACCTATACACACGACTATGTATAAACTGTACAATATAAACAAGTAGAACTAAGGCCTTCTCTTCATGATAGAGCATTCCAAGTGAAGATTATCTTGGGCCTGACAAGCCCATTAGTCTTCTCTAGATCCAGCTCTTCCTGTATCTTCCTAGCCATAGCTCTGGTCACTGGGCCCTTGGCCCATGGTCTATCACGTTCGGACTAAAAAATGCCGGGGCGACATACCAAAGACTGATGGACAAGGTGTTTCAAGGTCAAATCGGCCGAAACGTCGAGATTTATGTTGACGACATGGTGGTCAAGTCTGGCTCCTTAACCGATCACATGGCCGACCTAGCAGAGATCTTCGGTGAACTGCGCAAGCACAATATGAGACTGAATCCCGAGAAGTGCACCTTCGGGGTCAGAGGAGGCAAGTTTCTGGGGTTTATGCTTTCGGCAAGAGGGATAGAAGCAAACCGAGAAAAGTGCCAGGCAGTGCTAGAGATGAGGAGCTCGAGTAATCTCAAGGAACTGCAGCGTCTTTCGGGAAGATTGGTTGCCTTATCCCGATTCCTCCCACGTCTAGGTGACAAAATCAGCCCGATGACGAAACTCTTGCGGAAGGCCTCGAATTTCTCATGGAATGAGTCATGCGAAGCCGCCTTCGCAGTATTGAAAGCAGCCTTGGCGACACCGCTGATACTAACGAGACCGGACCCTTTGAACCCGCTATCGGTATACTTAGCTGTATCCGACGAGGCAATCAGCTCGGTCATAGTGCAAGAAAAGGGGGGCACCCAAGCTCCAATATACTTTGTCAGCCAACTCTTACAGGATTCCGAGACCCAGTACCAGCTGATAGAGAAGGTCGCACTCGGATTGGTCCACACCTCCCGACGCCTACGCCACTACTTTCAAAGTCACCCAGTAGTAGTACATACTGACTGCCCGATCTCCAAGGTTTTGAGGAAGCCCGAACTTGCCGGGAGAATGATGGCCTGGTCGGTGGAGCTTTCACAATTTGACATCACCTACAGGCTGAGAGGGCCGATCAAAGCCCAATGCCTGGTGGACTTCGTCAACGAGCTACACCCACACAGCTACTTTGAGGAGCAATGGTGGATCCTACATGTAGACGGTTCCTCAAACCGCCAGGGGAGTGGGGCGGGGGTGATCTTAGAAGGACCGAGGGGGATAACCCTGGAACAGTCATTACGCTTCAGATTCAAAGCCTCCAACAACCAAGCCGAATATGAGGCTTTGCTCGCCGGCCTAAGACTAGCTGAAGACATGGGAGCTTCGAGAATCAAATGCCTGACTGATTCCAAAGTGGTGGCCGAACAAGTCGGTGGGAGCTTTCAAGTGAAAGACCACAACATGATTAGATACTACCACGCCTATCAAAAGTTAAAGACAAAATTCCAAGAGGTGCTGGTCGAGCACATCCCACGCGAAAACAACGCACGAGCCGACCAATTGGCCAGATTGGCGGCAACCAAAAAGCTGGGCCAACAGAGAACAATTATCCAACAAGAAATCAGTCACCCGAGTGTGGATGAGGAAATGATAGCAACTGTTGACACCGACCAGAATGACCATAATAACCCCTCCGACTGGAGGGATAAAATCAAGGCCTTCATCAACGATAGCGCGCTTCCAGCCGATCCCACCGAAGCCAAGAGAATAAGAACACAGGCCAGCCGATACGTCATCATCGCGGGTCTGTTGTATAGGCGCGACTTTTCCACCCCCCTGCTCAAGTGTTTAGCTCCGACCGAAGCCAAATACGTGATACGAGAAGTTCACGAGGGGATTTGTGGAACTCACTCGGGAGCAAGAACGACCGTCGCAAAGATACTGCGAGCCGGATACTACTGGCCGACCATGAACACCGATTGCGACACATTTGTGAAGAAGTGTCAGCCATGTCAGAAACACAGCAACCTGATCCACCAACCGGCCGAGCAACTACATTGCATTCCTCCTGCATGGTCGTTCGCCACGTGGGGGGCCGATATACTCGGACCCTTCCCGACTGCTAAAGGACAGTGCAAGTTCCTTATCGTGGCTGTGGACCTCTTCACCAAATGGATCGAAGCCAAACCCCTAGCATGTATCTCGGCCCATCAGGTGCAAAAATTTCTATGGAAGAATGTCATCACCCGGTTCGGCGTCCCGCACACTCTTTTGACCGACAACGGCCTACAGTTCGCTGACCGAAAGCTAAACGAGTTCCTAGCCGACTTAGGAGTACAACACAAGGTTACATCAGTCGAGCACCCACAGACGAACGGTCAAGCCGAGTCGGCTAACAAGGTCATCCTTGCAGAATTGAAAAAACGGCTAGGGGAAGCAAAGGGGGCATGGGCCGAGCAATTACCCGAGGTGTTATGGGCCTATCGGTGCACCCCCCCCAGTCGACCACCCAAGAAACACCTTTTCGTCTAGTCTACGGATCCGACGCGATGATCCCAGTGGAAATCGGAGAGCCATCATTTCGCCGAGTCCACTTCAACGAGGCAGGTAATGAAGCCGAGCTACGAACAAACCTGGACGTGATAGAAGAAATTTGTGACCGAGCATTGGTCATAGCCGAGGCCACCAAACAACGGTACAAGAGAAGATTCGACAGCAAGGTGAAGCCTAGGGAATTTCGAGAAGGAGATCTCGTTTGGAGAGCTAAGGGTGAGGCATGAAAGAATCCGAGACAAGGAAAACTCGCCCCAAATTGGGACGGACCCTACCGTGTTCGGCATAACCTGAACAACGGGGCATACAAGTTGGAGTACTTATCAGGAGAACCAATTCCGAGAACTTGGAACTCCTCGCATTTAAAAGTGTATTACAGTTGATGTATCAGTGCACTCTTTTCCTTGACCGACTCTTTTTTCCCTAAGGAGGGTTTTGGGTCGGTAAGGTTTTTAACGAGACACTTCATTAATAAAGAAAATTTTTATCACTTAGTCCTATTTTTTCATGATTAGGTCGCGCATAGACCGAGTGACGAGCGATAACGCGCGCTTAAAACAAGCATTGCTCGGCCTACCACTCCGACATCTACTGAGCCTCTCAGTTTTCCCTCCCGAGTAACCTCCTTGGCTAAGGATGCACCTAGGCCGAGTACGACGCACAACGCGCACCGAACAAATGCTCGGCCGACCAATCTGTCATGTACCGAGCCTATTAGGTTTCCCTCCCGAGTAACCTCCTCGGCTAAGGATGCACCTAGGCCGAGTACAATGCACAACGCGCACCGAACACGTCTCGGCCGACCACACCAACATGTACTGAGCCTCTCAGTTTTCCCTCCCGAGTAACCTCCTCGGCTAAGGACGCACCTAGGCCGAGTACAATGCACAACGCGCACCGAACACGTCTCGGCCGACCACACCAACATGTACTGAGCCTCTCAGTTTTCCCTCCCGAGTAACCTCCTCGGCTAAGGATGCACCTAGGCCGAGTACAATGCACAACGCGCACCGAGCACGTCTCGGCCGTCCACTCCAACATGCACTCAGCCTCTCAGTTTTCCTCCCGAGTAACCTCCTCGGCTAAGGATGAACCTAAGCCGAGACCACGCATGAGCGCGACGCTGCCGAGCATGTAATGTTATATTTTTATCTCTGTAGACTAAGGTGTTGTTAGTGATGGACTAAACCTTAGTGAGTGTTGTAAACTTATGTATCCTCTCCATGAGAGTAACCCACACACTCAAAATCTCTCGTGGGCTTGATATCACTCTTTTTCTTTTTATCGAAAAGCCCAGGGCAAGGCATATAATCATTCTTCCGTTGCTTCTTGCCTCACCTCTTTCGGTTTGATGTTGTTGCATATTTATAGGCATGTAAAATTTGCCCGTTGCATATGTCCGTTGAAGCTAATATAGTCGTTCATTACTAGTTTGATCCGTTCATTTAAAGCATTTGGTCTTGCATTAAATGTTGCTTCCTATTTTTAGACATTGCGTGTATTCTTCTCTATCCTGTTGCTGCAATGTTTGACTTTATCTAAGACCCAGAAGTTGTTTCTCTTTTTTCGGCCGTGTAGCGATAGCCATTGTCCTTTTCTGAAAAAGTCATGTGCATTTTCTGACACATGCATGCTCTGCTTTTGCGTGCTTCTCTTCTCCTTTGTCCCTACATACGCGTTTTACATTGAAAGCTTTGGTGTAGACGATATCTTGGCTTATTTCTTGAGACGTGATTCTTTATTTGCTCGCGTGGGAGTCTTTATCTCCATCTGTTTGTCTTGTGCATTTCAATCTTGACTTTTGCTTCAGCGTCCGAGTTTAGTGCTTTGACTTTCCTTTGGTTTGATTAATAACGTGAATAGTCAACCATAGTTTCCATCTAGAATGTCTCTTAGTCAGTGTTGTCCTTCGTCTGATGCATAGTTGACTTTCTTTTGACCTTAGACATATGCCTCGTCTGATTTGTGCTTTAGGATAGTTGTACTATACACATCTTTGTTTGCGTATTTTATGATTGTCTGTCGCACATTCGTGTTCCAATTTTTCTTTTCTTGACGTTCGATTTCCTACATTACTTGCTTCATCTGTCTCAACTTGTCTGGTTCATGTCTTGCCTTGATTATTCCTCAAAGGCTTCGTCTAATATTTCAGTGTCTCATTCTGATGTTAGTTCTCTTTCGTCCGTGAGCAGACTTTGTCTTTATGCTTGATTACTTATCATCTGGTTTGTATAATCTTCATGAATTTTGACATTTAATGCTTCTGACTTAGCATTTAATGTTTGCTTGCTTGCTAAATCTGCACTTCTCGAGATCTTTTGTACTTTCTTGGTACTGTTACTGCAAAGGTGTTGTCTTTTCCTGGCTGGTAGGTGTACTTGCTCTAACACATGCTATTTTGATTTGTGGATAAGCACTCGTCCATTTGGCTTATCTTCCTTCTTATAGTTTAATGACTTCATATGTTCTTTTGAGAGTGTCGTTGTTAGACAGTTTGTCTCCTTGTGTCTTCAGACGCAATCCAGCTATCGTGATCTTCATCTGTGTATTCGAGTCTCCATCTGATTGGCTGTTGTAGATACTTGACTCTGTCTATGGTGATTTAACTTCATTTTGCCCATCGTCCATGGTCTTGTATCATCTGAGGCTTCATTATTTTACTTCTTGTGCTGGGCTTGATTCCGTTTGATCGTTTGATCTCGTCATCTGTCGTCTTGTTAGCTTTTATCCTTCATCTTGGTTGCTCGTGCTCTTGTCTTTTATTTCCTTTGTGTCTGGTTTTGTGGGTGTCTTCGTCTGATGTAGTTCCTTCTTTTGCTCAGCCTTTATCCAATGCTTGCCTCTCCTTGATTTTGGTATGGATGTATATTCTTTATTCAGCAGTTTACTTGTACTTATATCTGAAACACTAACACACTTGTTAGTAATAACAATATGTATTATATTTGTCTCATTCAAAACCTTGCTGGGAATTGCTTTCGACTTCGTCTGACTTAACAATCTCCCCCTTTTTGAAGATGACAAATATAATTGATCAACTGGGTTTCAGATATACTAAATTAGAAGTATTTACAAGTTCATTTGATTTCTCCCTCTTAGTTTATGCACTCCCCTTACTAGGTTGTCTCTTAGCCAAGTTTGACAAACTGATCAATTCTTTTCTATTTCTCCCTCTTTGTAATCATAAAAAAGAATTATATGCCAGAGTAGTTTTTAATTATTATAACCGTACAATGGTATTTTTGGTCGAATCATGAAAGTAAAAAAAAACTTTTTAACATTCAGTCTATCGAGATCACTATGCATTAATTATGTGCACTTAGTTAATTAAATTGTATTAATATTTTAATTATAAGACGTACATGATAGGGAAAAATATTTGTATAATACAAACTTACTAGCATTTTTTTAATTTGTAGTCATCAAGATAGATGAGTTTCTATGGGTATTCAAACATCAGAAAGACTTATATAGTAAGCGAGATGCTTAAGGAGAATTTTGTAGTTATAAGTAAGGTGATTTATACCCGAAGAGAAGTGCATTAAATTGAATTATGAACATGTTTAACATGAGGGTTGAAAACACTTTTCTTAATCAGACAAAGTAGATAAGAAAATGGACACAATCCAACATCTAAAGAGTTATTTTATGTAGCAGAAAAGGATAATTTCATTGAGTAGATTATTTCACATATCAGCCAATAATTCTAGATAAGAAGAAGTAAATGTATTATTGACTAGTCTTAGATTTACATCATGAGAAATCTGCATATGGAGGCTTTTAGCAAGATTATCCCTATTTTCTTATTTCTTCTATAGTGAACCTAAGACACCTCTCCCTTGGGAGGATCTATTTGAGCAGGGACGCCTTTTTAGGACGAGAATGAGGGAACTTCTACTTGATTTCTAGCAGAAGGTCATTTTTATGGAAGCGGCACGTTCATTGAGTTTTCCTCCAGATGAACTTGCCTCTCCTTTCTTCTGCCAAAGCCTACTCCTCATTCTTCTTGTGCTTCCACAACACTGACTCTGGAACAATTATTTTCACTTATTTGTCCGTTCCTGGTTACATCTCCCTTTGCTTGTTCTGATGTAGAACCCTTGCTTTGAGAAGGTTGGTGTGTACCAAACACCATTCCTTCCACGAACCTTTGTGGAGCATGTCGCAACTCGAAAATTTCTGATCTTGCGACCTATGGTTTAGACATCCTTTTGAAAGTCTCATCAATTAAGGAATGCCCGGACGCTAGACTAATCCTTAATCAATGGTTTTTTAAAAATAGGTTCATGGAGTCGCCACCAATGTTTTACTCAAAACATTGGAAAAAGAAAAGGTTTTTAAAGGTCCAATAATGGTCTTGATAACTAGAATTGGGTTCGGGGGTCGGTTACGTGTAGGAAAGGTATTAAGCACCCCTACAACGCCCTTAATCGGTACCCTATGACGAAGTTAACATTATAAACAATAATAATATAAATATTAAATCCCCTTTTATTGGTAAATATTTACATGCTTGAAATTTAAAAAAAAAATGCACTGCTTCAAACAGCCTATAAACTAAAACTATGATATACCAAACATAGAAGTCTAAAACTAGTTTTAATGATAGTACAACTTAAACAATGCAGACAACATTGCTTCTCAATTTGAAACATAAAGTAGAATAAAATTTGAAGACTGAAATGCGTCTCGATTAGAATCTCCAGATACTCAATATCAATAATATTGTTAGTTAGAATAATGCTAACCACTCCCTTCCTTATTTGACAAAGCAAAAAAATTTATGTCAGCAACAAAGAAGGATAATTAAGGATACAAAAATGAAGATAAGACAGCCAAGAACCCAAAAAAATAGTGTATATATATATAATGAAATCCCCCCAGTCTCTCTGAATTCATAGTAAATAGACCAGGGTTGGTCAAACACTCGAGAGAAGCCAAATGAAAATTTTCAATTTCACTCCACATTAATGTGAATT